ATCATGATACCAGATTTTTTTTTTTTTTTTACTCCTGCAGCACCCGGTCTTCTTAGGTGGTCTCCCCATCCAAGTACTAACCATGCCCGACCTTGCTTAGCTTCCAAGATGATGCCAGATTTATAAAGAAATTTTAATTAGAGAAGTTAAGTAATTTTCACAATGTTATACTCTAAGCAAATTTTAGAGCTAGACTAGATTGTGAACTCAGGGCCTGCCACCGACCACATTGAATATACTCTAAAATGTCCCCACAGTAAAATTACTTTTCTGCTTCCAGCTGAATCCTAATCTTCTATTAGTGACATTAACTTCAAAAAAACCATTCTATGAACTCATTACATTTAGTTCTCAGAAATTTAACTGTCTTCCTTACATTGACTAGAATTTTTGTTCTCTGTAAATATTAGAGGATTATCTACTATACCTAGAATTCTCTCTCATGGCACATGAATTATTTCAAGTATATATTAAACTCTAAAGGATAAAGTTTTTGGAGTTTTTAAAGATTTGTAATAGGAAATGGGCCAAAAATTTTTAATGACATCATCCCAAAGATACTCTTGATTTAATTTATCTATATGGACTACATTTAATCGATTCTTAAAAATTAATATTCAACTATAAAAATAATTTTCTTCCAGAAAACTTCAAGGAAATAAGAAAAACAATGCTTTTAAAAGGGTGAATTAGATGCCAATCTAAAATAGAAAAGGCTGAGTTTTAGCTGTCACTCACTGTTTTTCTGAAATGGGTTTAGAAAGTCAATCTACACATCCCAAGCTCATACATATGAGACAATTGATTATAGTTTCATTCATTCCAGTCATAAATTTTTAAAATCAAAAACAATTTAGCAACAAAGAGGCGCTTAGAAAGTGCATTTCTGTTCTGGGAGTCCTTACATTTCATAAAGTTGATTCCCACTGAAGGAACAGGTTGGGTGCATATCAGCTGACTCTGGGTTTCTCCAGACTTGAGTTTCAGGGACTTCTACAAAACCCTACTCTTACAAAAATTTTAAGATATGTTTTCTGTCAGTGGTGTTTTTTCAGTTTTATGTCTTCTACCTTGCATGTATGGGTCCTTAATATTTAAAAGGATTGGAAGGAGTCCACGAATCATTTCATATTGCAACTGGAGTCTGAAGTCACTCATGGTCTGATAACCTAGGCATGTGCCAAATTGTCAAAACCATGCAAAGGAGGAAGATAGAGTTGGTAAATGTGGCTAGGCAAGAGATTTCCTTCCTCCTTGAATGTTCTGAGAGTAGTTGAGATATTTCTGATCAGGGAGGGACTTAAACCACAAAAATCCTACATGGGGTCTCCTTAAGGGGATAACTGAAAACATTCTACACAAGAGGTTTTGTATATACACATATCCACATTTTAAGATACATTCGATGGCTAACTTGAAAATATAAGCATCACTTAGAATATTTTTAAAAATACCTTGGAACACAGTTATGCAAATTAGATGTGCATGTTCAAATGAGAATCTCAATCTTTTCTCTTCTTGATTTCTACTAGTTTCTTTTATATAGACTTAACTCTAACCTCAAGTATTTGTTCAGACCCAGTAGATCTCTAGGCTTTCCAAAAGCAGGGGAAGTCTACCCTTAGCAGGACTGGTGCTTGCCAGTAGTTGCAGTGAGTCACAGCTGGAATGTCCTGTGGTTAACATTTTCTCTGAAAACAGAATCAGAGGGCTCCAACTGGTTGCCATGGTAACCAGTATTTGTGTACTTTGAAAAATGACTGTTCCTGTTTTGTGTGGTAAATTTACGCAAGAGTGAATTGTAGAGGTGAAGTTAGCCATCTGTGTGAATACAAACAAAAAAACCTGATTTAATTAGGTGTAAACTTTAGGGGGTATGGGATTTTCTTTTTTTTTTATACAGCGGTATTGTTCTATTCTAATTAATTCATTAATTTATTTGACATATTTAAGCATTTTCATCAATTTCTATTTGATGTTTATTTTAAAGCATCGTTCTCTCCCTTCCAAAGGCCACAAGGAATTAATTGTCATTCATCAGGGCTCCCCCCACACCCACTCCCTTTGCCCCTGCCCCCATGCCATTCACAATGCGTTATTTAAGAAGAAGGATTCAAGGGCTCCTCTTCAATGAGGTAATCCCATCCGGAAGGAAGGAAAAAAAAATCCCTTCCAAATCATGTGAAAATATCAGGTTTCTTAACCTTGCTGAGCTAGGAGGCAAAAATACTATACTGCTTATAACATTAAATACAATCTAAAATATAGTTCCTCCAAATGTCACTAGCTAGTATTTGAGAAGATCCATCATGCTTAGAGCCATTATGGTTACAGAGAAATGTTACCTTAGGTTTTGTTGTGTAAAAATGAAATGATTAAAGGTTTGGTCACTGAACTACAATCCAAAGTTAAGATGAGCCTTTTGGAGTGGAACAGAGTGTTTTCTTGCTTATTATGCCAGTTCTTGGGAACGGTATGTTTATTTTCGTATTAATTAGTTTAGAATTGGAACTCAAACACTGGACTTAATAAAAGTGAAGCTGAGATAAATACCGTACAGTGAAGCAGTAATTTAGCAGTAAACAGATTACAGCATCAACCTCCTCTCCAACCTCTGACCCCCGCCTCCTGGATTAGATGCGGGACCTGAAGGCTGAGGACAGGGCCTTCTGTTGTTGTTCCCTCTTCTTTTTATGTTGCTTCATTCTTTCTCTCATTCTCACTCCCTTGTTACGGCATCTGTTAAATATCTAGGATAATAGAAACTTGAGTATAAATATACACATTTGAAGCATCAATATTAAAAAATGTAAAAAGGAAGCTGAAGTGATAAGCCTAAAAAATAAATCTCATCTTTATTCATTTGTTTAAAATGCTTAGATTTAATATTTATGAGTGATGATATAATGGACTTCCTTTAAAATCTTTGCTCACCTCCCCCTAAATCTCACAAGCATGTAGATATATTAAATAGCCAGTTCTGAGAAATCAGAATGAGACAGGCCAAGATTTAGAAATCTGAGATTTCTTTTGACCTTGAACAGCCCCCCGCCTGGTCCCCCGCTTCACAGAATGGCCACAAAGGATCCAGACACTTTGCTGCCTAAAAGGAACACGCCGAAATTTAGGACTGTAAGACTTTAAGATGTATCTAACTCTGCAGGGTTCAAACAGGAGTGCAGATGAAGCCTGATTAAAATAAATGTGGTTGTGGGGAAATCACTGTGTCCATTCACAGGGGCTGTACCGGGAACCTGCCTTGCGCTGGTCAGTGAGAGGAATGCAGATGTGATCTGGGCTCTAAAGAAACTCAGAGTCTGTAGAGGAGATAAGACATGCATGCCTATAACTAGGATACAAGGACATGTGACCATTCCCACACAGAAGCACAAGCAGAGAGCTAAAGGCTTTCAAAGGCAAGCATCATGACTGCCTCTAAGAGCCATGAAAGTGCTTTGCAGAATTTGATTATAAAGCTTTTCATGTTCAAATTAGTATGTTTCAAACAATATTTTATATCATAACATTTTAGTAAATAAAAAGAATTTGATCAATCTGGAATTTGTTGAATCCAGATTACACATTTTCCTACAAACACACACAAACACATGCACTCATACTGTTGCATGTGTGTACTCTCCAAGGGACTAATCGAGGAAGTCCATGAGTCTATGATCAGACACTTTCCATTTTGTTGTCATGGGCAGTTCATCCCAACGGTATCTGGAGCAAAACGTTTAAAGTGGACATGAGGAGATTAAAAGAAAATATAATGGACTGAGTCATGAGGAAGTCAGTCTTTTGGGATTATCTTTCCTTATTGAAGAGATATGGCAGAGAGGTGGGGGGGTTTTGTTTTTCTTTGTTTTTTGTTTTTAGTTTAGAGGTGAGTATCTGATGAAATTATTAAAAGAGGCAGATAAAGTATACATGACAGGATGTAAAAATACCTCAGCGGGAAAGCACAAAGATTTCAGCAAAAAGTTTCCAAGAGAAGAAATATAAATGGCCAATAAATATGAAAAAAACTTCAACCTCAAAGGAACACAAATTAATATAATTATGAAAATGCACACAAGTTTTCACTTTCAGAACCAGCTTTAAAAAATAATAGTCATAGCTGCTAAAGTTCTACTGCACAAAAAATTTCTGTAAACTGCTGGTGAGAGAATAAATTGGTAAAATTTTCTGGTAAGAAATTAAGTAATATACATGAAGAGCAAAAAATGATTATACTCTTTAATTTATGTCCCTTATAGGAATCTTTCCTAGGGAAAATTTAAAATATCAAACAAAGATTTATGTTGGCAAAAAAATTGGAAATATTCTAAGTGAACAACAGAATTGTAAATAGTATATTAGTAGCATCTTATGCCACCGTTAAAAATGTTTACATAGACTATTTAGTGACATGGTTAGTATGAAATGTATGGCCCAAATTTATACACACATATATACCTACATACATATGTACATACACATGCACAAATGAAAAAAAAATGTTGGTGAGATAAACTTCCGGTATTAACAAATTATTAACAGTGATTATCTTCAGTGGGATTAATTTTTATATTTTCCTTTTTCATAGCTTTCTAAAATGTGGTTTTTAAATGGTATTTATTTTTAAAATGTATATCATAATACTCCTACTTACCAAGTATCTCTTATATGTTTATATATGAACACATCTCATTCAGCCTACTATTTCCTTATCCTGGGCCGGGATTAGACTTTGGAGGGAATTTGCTAGGCTGACATAAAACCAAACAATATTTGGATTTCCAGATTATTGGGCTTAGGAATCATTCCTAAAATTCTCTCTATGTAACCTTCTGTTTTGAATTCTTATGTTGAGCGTTCTGTACTCAGCCCGCCTCAAGAGATTTCACCTTAACTTTTAAACCAAGGAACAGCGTTGGCTACATGAGTAGACTTTGCTTTTTTCATCTGACAAACCACGTGAAGTCTTTTTACATTAGTCATTTTCTCTCTGGTTCCAGCTCTACGATGGCCCACGGCGGTTGGGACGCTACTGTGGCTCAGATATGCCACCTTCGGGGAATACCACAGGCTCCATTCTTCAAGTGCTATTCCGCACGGATGGGGTCAGTAGCCACAAGAAAGGATTCCAGATGCAGTGGTTCGTCCACGGTAAGCCCCGCGCCAGTCTCTGTCATACATTTCATAGTTGCTATTTGGCCAAGAATAGCCTCCTTTCCAGTTCTATATTTGGGAACGATGCCATCAGCAAATGATGGAACCTGGGGAATAATCGGGTTCTGGGTCTTAGAAAGTCGATTCAGACATCGATGACTCCTACAGAGTTAGGTCCTGTTAGGGTTAAGAGAGAAAGCGATGTCAAAGTGGACAGGATTTGGGTAAGTGCTCAAGTAGGTGCAGCAATAAATGGCCTAAGAGAAAGGAGGGAGTAGAATGAAGTCTCCAAGGTGAAGACCCGTACTTGGGTACGGCGAGCAGATTGCAGGGTGGGATGGGGCCTTTCAAGGGGCGTGGAATAGAAGGAGATTTAAGGCTCACCCTGACATTAGGAGAGAAAGAAGGATAGGGCTGGAAGGGAAAGAATGAGAGTCAATCAGGGAGAGAAGAAAGAGCAAGGATTGGGCCGAAAGGGGAGCAGGAGCAAAAACCTGAAGCCAGAGGCCTGTGTTGTGCCTGCCACACAGGTAGGGGCACGACAGACCCACCTCTGAACTGGTGCTTCAGAAAGCAGGTAGGATAATCATTTCTCCGAAAATGAAAATTCATTTTCAACAGGAGTTCTCAGACTTCTGGACAGACCTCAGATGGCCCATTGTAGAGGGAGACGGCCCCAAAGCAGTGGTTCTCTACACGTGCTCCCCCAAATGCTGCATCAGGGTCACCTGGAACGTGTCAGAGATGCAAATTCTTGGGGCCCCACCCCAGATCTACGGAATCGCAAACTCCCAAGGGAGGCCCCAAATCTGTCTTAACTGGTCTCCCTGGTAATTAAACTTTGAGAATCATCCTCCTACAGTGACCCAGACCTGAAAAATGTAGTCCTTGTGAATATTATAGTAACAGCTCTCAGCCAAGGTCTGAGGGCTCACCGGTCTGTTTCAATCAGTTTGAAAGAGAAGAGGACTTGTGGTGTTATACCAGGAACCGCACACAGACCTCTAAGCTGTGGCCCTACTGTCAGAATCGGGGGTGAGCACAGGTGAGGGCATGAATGTGTGCCGTGGTTGTCTCCTGAAGGCTGCTAACGTCATAGCACATTTATTCTATGAATCCAGTGCTATACATAACTGAATAGTCCTATTATATATTTAGGAGGGTTGGGTGTTCTGAGATTATGGACTGGAGACTGTATTTCTGTTAAAAATATAAGAATGAGGTTTTTCAGTGTTTAAAACTATTTAGTGGTTATCCACAGAGCTACTTATAGCTTGAAATACAAATTATGAATTCCTAAAGTGAATGAGCTATGCTAATTAAGTCTGTGGGAATTCTCCACCATCCTTTTCATCAAGTAGGTAGATTTAATATCTTGGCATGCCAATTTATTGACTTATTAAATGGAGGGATTGGATTGATTCATCTCTATAATACAGTCCATCTCTAGTATTCTGTGATTCAGGAGTGGTGTGATTTAAAGGACACTAGAGACTGTGTGAAAAGACCAGAAGAAACAGGCAAATCTTGATAAATGACCTAGATTTTCAAGGGCCGGGCGTATGTTCTAGAGCAGTGTTTCTCAGAGCCTCGTGTGCATTAGAATCACTGGGAATCTTGTTTAAATGCAGATTCTGATACAGGGAGGCTGAGGTGAGGCCCATGAATCTGCATTTCTAAGACGTCCCAGATAATACTGATGGTGCCACACTGTAGACCAGTTTAACTTTTTTCTATCAGTTCCATTTGAAATCTCTCTTTATTTGGGGGAGTCAAAGACACCCTCTGTCTATTCTCTTTTCCTGTTTACTATTTCAAAACTTTCTCGCATTTGCTGAAAATTTGCTAAACTTGGAACTAAAGTAATGCAGCAACATTTTTCCAGCTGGGACCAGAACTGAAAAAAAAAAAATTAACTCTGTGATGCCCACTGTATATAAATTATACATGGGAAGAATCTTCTAGATCTGTGAAAAGATAATTATCATATACTATAGTTATGCAGTGCCACAAGTACTCAGAGTTTATACTGTGCATCTGAACTAGGTCTTTAACTTGAGATGGCAGCCTGAGAAGAGGGGTCAACAGGATAGATGGGGTTCAGGAAAGAGGTTCTGGTGAGACAGGTTCCCCCATTTCTTACCCATTGGAGGTAAACTGAAAACATAATCTGATTTCTCAGTTATCCATGGTTCATTCCACAGATATTAAGGAACTGTTTGGAGCCAGGTACTGTGCGAGAGCTGATTCCAGCTCTAACAGACCTGGTTCCAACTCTCATATTGCTTACAGGCGATTGGGAGAAGCAGCAAATAAGCAAAATGCACACAAAGAGATATAAGTGCCAGGGAGCACACAAAAGGGGATTTGACTTTGACAGGAGGTCAGAACAATCCTGTGTGAACATGGGCCCTTAAACTAAAATCGAAGAGCAAGCGGGAGTTTTGTGGGCAGATAGGAGAATTTCCCCAGTAGAGAAAGCCCCTGTGGGTGAGCGTGCAGGCCGAGTGAGTGGCCGCAGTCCAGGATCCAGGGGAGCAATGCCGAGCTAGGCAGTGGGGAGAGCGTTCAGGTCACACGGAGTTAGGGGTTTGGGCAGGAACAGGGGCCATACTTCCTCTTCCGTGTAAATTCGTCAGATTTCAGAGAAATGAGTTTTGAGTAGGATCTTGAAGGACTGAAGCAACATGGCATGTTGTGGGACTCAGAAGATTAAGATAAAATAGAAAATACAAATGAATAAAAACGAAACAAATAAATACAAAGTAAATGTAAAAATTAGTCTCAATTTTCAAGTGCAGTGGTAATATTCTTGAATGTGCGTTTGTGTGTGCACACGAACGTGCGTATGTGTATGTGACTGAAAACGATTGTTTCTGCACAACCTCCCTAAATCTCGATTTCCGAATCAGGTTCAAGTGCAAGGCCCAGGACACCCAGCCTGACACATGACTTCCTGAGCATTGCTGCTGAGGAAGAATCCCACATACTTCATTCATTTTGTCAATTAATAAATAAACCCGTTTACAAAATGTGCTTCTTTGTTGAGGGCCCAAATCTTCTATCTGCTTTGAGAAAATGGGATCTACAATCGGGCTTTATTTATGGGCCCATTTTTAAAGTGGTGCTGTAGACATGAGATTAAGCCACACTGCCTTGCCTTTATGTGAGCCATCAAAGAGAGTCCCATCCTGGAAAGAAAGAAATAGCCCCAGTTGCCCTGCCTGGCTCAACCGCTCCCAGTATTCAGTGCTGACAGCATTGCACAAAGGCTGGATTCGGTCTCGGAGGCCTCCGTCTGGGTTGCTGAAGGGAATGTAGAGCTTGCTGCAAGCTGTGTAAATAGGGGCCTCTGGGCCAGCTGTGCATCCCCTTTGCCTCTTCTGCCCCTCTCTCCCAGAGGTCCCTTGCACTGGGCATTGGAATCCAGCGTACAAACAAGGTCAAGCAGCTTTGTGAGTGAAAGAATGACATTTGTGAAGGGAGAGAACCCCTCAGCTGGGAATAGCAGGGGAAGGTCTGAGTGGCATGTGATCAGGAGGTGATGTCACCCTGGATTTTCACAAAGGAAAAGTGTGGCCTTTTCTCCAGAGAGCTAGATGACATCAGACTCTCAAATGGGGGCTGGTTTCATTTTATTTTCCTTTTAGCTATTAATGAGATTTCTCAAGGCTTGAGGATTTTCAGAAATTGGCTCGGGGAGAACATTTTAAAAACTTTATCAAGATCCTCCAAGGCTGGCTCCGTTTGAACATGAGCCAGTGCCTTCTCAACTACCTGGGGACATGCAGTGCCGTATCAAGGGCTTTTTAAAAATAAACTTTCAGAGCCCTGGCAAAGAACCTCCATGAAGTCAGCCATGTTTCTTTTAAACTTTCATTCCATTTTTTTCCCTCACTGGGGCTTTTCAGTAGTCTTTGTTTATTGTTGATCTTTGAGGGGAAATCCTTCTAATTTGTAATTTTTATTCCTTTTGTGACTTTGAGTATGTGTGCTGGGCTTTATCTTTGTAATTCATTATCCACTTGCCTTATATGTGAATGCTGGGAAATCACTCTTAGGTGCGAGGGCAGGTAAACTGGGCTCTAAGAGGTGCTCTCCTGGGCGTACTTTTTAAAGAACAGACAGTTTGCAACTGTGCATCATGTTACAGCAATTATACATAGCATCTGCCACCAGGTATTTATTGAGAACATATTTTTCATTCAGTCATTCGTTCAACTAACCAATCAGCATATACTGATTCACTAGCAGGTTCTGGGCTTGGCGTTTAGGCTATAGAGAGTTTATTAGTTTGCTCAGGCAGCTATAACAAAATGCCTCAGATTGGGTGGTTTAAACAGCAGAGATTTATTTCTCACAGTTCTGGAGGCCTGGAAGTCCAAGATCACAGTGTCGGCAGGGTTGGTTTCTCTTGAGGCCTCTCTTGGGGGGTCTCGTTTCGACTTAATCACCTCCATAATAGCCCTATGTCCAAATACAGTGACTCTGAGATACTAGGGGTTAGGACTTCAGTATATAAAATTTGGGGGAGACATAATTCAGCCATAGCAGAGAAGGAGACAGTATCCTTGACTTCAGGGAGTTAAGTCATTTAGTAGGGGAAACAGACAGATAAACCAAGTGCAGAAATAAGTCCATAATCCATGATGACGAAGAGGTCTGGGATGGCCTGAAGGAGTTCCAGAGGCCCTCCAGGTAGCTTTAATACTTGAGCTGAGTTTTAAAGAATAAGCGAGAATCGATCAGTCAGACAAATATCGGAGAGAGGAAGACATTTCTAAAGAGAAGCTGAGAGGCTTAGGATAACGCCAAAGTTTGCAACTGGCAAGTAGGTTAGCTAGAGCACACGTTGTCAATATAAGCCCCAAGGCAGTGAAAATTGATTTTTGGGAGGGCAAATAAATTTTATGCTTTATGTATAAACTACGCACACACACACACACACACACACACACACACACACACACACACACACATAATATGTAACAGATATG